TCTATATCCATTCTTTCCCAATTATATATTTTAAATAAATACAAGAGTATTAAATATTATGTTTATGTATCCAATTTTTATATACAAGTGATCATCCGATCTATTGTTYAAAAGGAACTTATTACATTTAACGGGTCCCCATAAATCAATCAATTCATTTTTTATCCTAGGTATTTACTTTATAAACAGCAAATTTTTTCTGAACAAGCCGTGTAGTATATGGTATATATTAGATTATTGTTTGATCTTTTCCTGATTAGATCACATATTTAATGTCACATTTTTTTATAGTGCAGTGGGGCCGTAGTACACGACTGTAAAATATTTTCATAAACACGTTTGTATCGATAACACATTGTAATTAAAATATTATTAATAAATCAGCTTCGTCATTTATCAAAAAAAAATAACCTTTCGCAAACTTCATACACAATAAAATTTGACATTTTTGTTATGATTCAATTACAACTTACAAGTTCTTGATCCCCAAGTTTATTCTTGTTAATGCATTCATGTTACATGTCACATTTTCGCAATCCAAAAGATTGATGTATATTATTTTTATTTGGATGGTTCGAAATATTACAGATCAATTCTTAGTAACTATTATGAACAGAAAAATATAACGTTTCAATTACCTATATTACTTATTTTATGTGTAGTAGTCATAGAACATTAACATCATCGTTTATAATTTGATGYAAATGTTTCCATATAATACTAAAATTATTGATTTTATTTAGTACACATGAATATGTAGCTTAAAATGTTAAAATAAAAATATATATTAATTATTAGGTATAATTCAAACAAGGAATCGATAGTAGTTTTTAAGTTATTCAACTTCATGTAAATACTAAGAATGATAGAATAATTAAAATTAGTTAGGTAGTATGGTGGCTTTGAGGATTGAAACATTTTAGTAACTGGCATTAATCTATCAATATTTAAAGTTTCTAAAATTGGACTAAGTGTAATATGCTACATTTAATTTACATTTCTTTTTCATATTTTCTATAAATATTTTAAAGATTATTATTCTTTATACAAACATTTTTTTTAATCTATATACAAAATTGTTCAAATTAGGTAAACCCAATGTACCATTATCAAAAAAGATAACCATAAAGTAATTCACACTAAACATAAGGGTTGTTGTTTGAAAAACATAAGCTTGTATCACCAATTTACACTCTTCTAAATACCTTAAGTACCTACTACAGATAGTGTAAAAAGTGTCGAGAATTTYGAATCGAAAATAATTATGCTCTTTGAGTTATCTAAAAATACAAAAATAATTTGAATTAATTAATTACTGAACTAAAATATGAAAGAAGATATGCTTGGTTAATCATCCTATACAAGTATACTAAGGATAAAATTTTTTAAACCAATAAAACAGTTAATTTCAAAATAGTACCCATATATCATATAAATGCTCCTTATCGACTATTCCTAATGCTACGAGTATATTATTTAATTCATCGAATCTCGAGCATGCAAAATATTTTCATATGTTTTATATGTTTCGGAAGGTGATTTGTGTTCTACGGCACAAAATAATACACAAGAAAATAATGAGCACGGCATCAAACCCGATGCCACCGTAAATGAAACTCTTAAACATGTCATTGAAAAATAATAAAAATAATATTATTTATTATTAATGTTGTGACATACAGCTGTTTATTGATCATTATTCATTGTAATACCTTAATATTGAAAAAAGAGTTAATTATAATATTACATATTATTATGATCATCGACATTCTAATGTTTATACAATATTAAACTGACATGAAATCGATATCCATAATATAATATTTGCCAACAATAATAATTTATTACCTATAACATACCTACGTAATACGAGTAATATGATTATGTCGTGTAACAAACGTACGTGCATGATAGTCATACTTAATAAATGCGTGCACTTCAACCTCGAGTATTCGTTATTTTTAAGTGGTCAGTCGTCAATTCAATGTTCTCGTGACAAAACATTATCCATGACTTTTTATACAATATAATGACCTCATTTAAATACGTTTAACTATTACGAATTGATGTTGAATTACTGCTTGGAAGTTCACTTAAAGGAAAAATATGATATTTATAAGCTTTGTATATTATTCAGTTCAAGTTAAGTTTTTTACTAGGATAAACAGTCATTATTTTATGCAATTTAAAAATGTGTTCAATATTGCACTTGATATACAGTATAGTTATACAAAAGTGTATGTACCTACGTAAAAAGAGGCGTTCTTGTTACGTATTCACGATTCATACCAATGTGGCTTACCACTATTTATGAATTAGGACATTTAATTATATAAATTATCGATATATTTTCATAAATATTTAATGTAAATTATTGGAAACATTTTATTGTTTTATTGTCTTGAAAATTACGTAATATCATAACGTCTGCTAAAAAAAGTTCGAAAGTATCTTCGATAGCATTTTTTTTTTTTTAACGCCAACATCGTTCAGTTGGATAAATGTGATGTTGGAAAATCCTATAAATTCCCATATTTTTTTTCGATGATTTATAACGTCAAAGATCCCCACATCTTCCTGTTCGTTAGGTGCACCTAAAACATGTGCGTGGATCTTTTAACGGATTGATGATATCCATGGTAATGTGATATCCATTCATGTCACTTATATTATTCAATGTTTTTACATAAGTCTTTTAGGGTTCTGACTTGAATTTATCTTTCAATAACCTCATGGTATAATGTTTGTCTATCTTTTTTTTTCACCACAAAATACCTAGCCTCAATCAACTATAGGTTGTTAAATGATTTTGTCATAGGGATGCACATATTTTCGATCATTAAAATGTATGATTATAATAYGATAAATATTTTAAAAATTACCCTATGTGGTCAACCAAATAATCTAATCTCCTCACCCACCTCCACAGTTTTACCCCCACTGGCCTTTGACACAACGAAAAAATCCCATTGGATTGTCAATTGTTTTTTTTATTCCTAAAGATAATACACTTTCCCATAAGTTAATTCTTTAATACCTAATGTTATAAGTC